TAAATATATATATACATAAGAAGTTTTTTTTATGTTTGTGTGGGGTTCTTTTCACTGAATATGGATTTAAATTTAGCATTTAAAGTAATATTGCACTTATACCACTCAAAGTACCTGATGCAATTGCTCCAACCTAATTTGCATTCGGTTCATAACTTTGGAAAAAGTCACGTAACCTTCACTTGACAGTTAAATGGGGGGGGGGGGGGAATACAAAGAGAAAAGTGAAAACTGTATCATTGTTTGTATGAAGGTTTGAGTGGAGAGTGAAGGATAATTTATCACACTGTCAGACACATTATGAGCAAAAACAGTAAATATGTCCTCCTCCTCCTCCTCCTCCTCCTCCTCCTCCTCCTTCTCCTCTCAGGTGGAGAGACACCCACCTGGCCTTGGTTGACCTCCAGCCCCACGGGATGGACAGGGCTCGAGCTGAGAGGGTCCTGGAGTTGGTGTCCATCACCGCCAACAAGAACACCTGCCCCGGAGACAAGAGTGCTATGACTCCAGGAGGACTCAGACTCGGTACTCAGACGAGTAGATAAAAAGCTTGTACAGGATGTGCTGGTTATCTGGTTATTGATGGTGAAGAGCTGCAGGAGGAGAGGTTGTTTGGGCCGAATCTGTCAACCACTCAGTCTTGCTACCCAAATGTTATTGGACCTTTTGTTCTCCCTTTGTGTGTCTGTCTGTGTGACGTGTCTCTGTCTGTATGATTTGTCTGTATATTCATCGGCCTGTCAGTCAACCTGTCAGCATGTGTCTCTCTTAACCTCACCTTAATATTTAATTATTATACTGTTTTTCTGACAGGGACTCCGGCTCTAACCTCCAGACAGTTCAAGGAGGCAGACTTTGAAAAGGTTGTGGAGTTTATTGATGAAGGGATTCAGATCGCACTGGATGTGAAAAAGAAGACTGGTGAGAGAGGAGGAAGAGTGTGTTTTATATAGTGTTAGACGCATCATGATGACACGATGTTTGGTGAGAAGGCTGTCTAATGCATTGTTACTAAGGAGAACCAGAGATAATGTGTTCAAAAGTGACATGATGATGTGCATCTAAAGGAAAACATTTAAAAGTTTTAAGGAGGTTCAATGTTGTACAGGGTTTTATATTCACTTTTTTTCTTTATTGCTCTTTCTCAGGAAATCTGTCCAGCTTTAAGTCCTTCCTGTTGGAGGACCAAGAGACGGTGTCGCGCATTGCGGAGCTCCGCCAGCGGGTGGAGCTATTCGCCAGACCCTTCCCCATGCCCGGATTCACTGACCACTAATAACACATCACACAGAAAGCCAGTATCCCCTTCATAACTCCTCTGATGTAATAGTCTTTTGATGACGCTGCCATGGAAACAAGCGTCGTTTCAAATCATGTTTGGACCTACTAGAAATGGAAATGATTTGTTTTGTGCATGTGATGATGAGGTTGATAATGATGATGCTTTCCATTAAAACGTTGCACAGTAACGTACATTATCCTGCAGTTAATTCATTAACAGCTGCTGCGCTCGCTCTAATAAGTTCCCCACTTCTGAGACTGTTGTTTGCTTCTCTACGCCGAGAAGGACCATAAGTGTTCAAGGTATTTGGCTTTTTGTCAATAAGCAGTATTGAGAGTCCTTATCAACGCCAGGCTTTGTCCCAGGCTGGGAAACTTGCAGCAGCTGTGTTAGGAATTGAACACAAGCTCAGTTTAAACCCGCAAAACCACAAACTAAATGGGGAAACAGTTAGACAGTGCACATTTTATTTCTTCTTTTGTTTGTATAACATACTATATCTCCTTGTATATTTGTGAATATAGTACAACATATATATAGGCTACAGTGATCTTCTTCATTGCAATAAAAATTGGTCTTCAATGTTTATGTTTGTTGAATTTTCTAACAGCTCTCTGTTGTCACTTGCACTGGTCTTATGAATACCTGCTGTCATATAAGACGCATGCATTTCTTAGAGAGGCAGATGATTTATGTTTATGGGTCGGAGGAGGAAGGAGACTCGCCAGAGTTTATAAACACTGATCTGCATGTCTGATGTCTCATTTCCTCTCACTGTCAACTTCAGGGAACAGTCCAGAAAAAGAAAATAAAGTGGATCTTTTCAGCAGAAAGAGCCAGAGCTTTCCACCCTGAAAGAACACATGAGCTTCAGACATTTGATTTGTCCAATGAAGGCTTCCTGACTCCACTGAACAATTGGGTTTTTTCTATTTGAATGACTTGTTTCATGTTGTTAAAACTAACTTTCTTGCATGAAGACTACCAGACTGAACCTGTTATTAAAAAATAGAAACAGGCAGGTGGTCGAGGTGAGACCATCTTAATTCACATTTAGCATCTTTTTATGTTACCCGACATTACATAATGCTCATAAACATATAGTTAATTGGATACAAGGTGAGATGAGAGCATTTTGTAACACCAGAGTCCTTCACTGTCCTCACAATACCTTCAGAACTTGCACTTCTATTGATCTAAACACGTTCTCTCCCCCTGTTTCTCAAATTGCTGCAGTCAGATCTTTATACTCCCAGACAGATACAAAAAAGAGCAGGCTTCCTCTTTCCTTCACTGCAGGATGAGACTTTGTTATTTTATTTTGATGTATGTTTTTATTATTCTGAAAGGACAGTTTCCTCTGAGACATAAAGTATTTTATAAAGCAGCACTAAAACGAGCTTTGCAACATAACTTGCTGCCTCTTGGAGCGCTTAATATTTATTTCTCTGATGAACTGAATGGGCGTTTATTTTGGTGTCAGACTTTTTTTTAGTCCTGCTGGGCTTTTCAGTCCGTCTTCCAATTTTTTATTTGAAGGTTATTGCTTGAGTTTGTGCAAGAGGAATGAGTCCCCTCCGCAGAGACCGGCCAGCTGAATCACAGGTCAAAGGTGAGGGAAGCTCTCACAGCTCTGTCGTCAGAAAACACACAGAAACAACACAAGGACATACACACGCATCATCACAACGCAAATACCGACTCATCTGCTCATCTCTGTGCCTGTTTCTCATGACCTGCCAACTCCTTTAACGCAGTGTGCGTATGTGTGTGTGTGTGTGTGTGTGTGTGTGTGTGTGTGTGTGTGTTATAAGGCTTTTAAATATCCTTCAGGGAAATCACATAGTCCCTCAAGCTCCATTGTCTGCCTCTAGCCATCTCCTTATTACCACAACAATCTTTTTGGTGTTTAAAAGTCGGATGATTTTTTGATGTTCGCTTTCTTCTCTCTTCATTCGCTCTTTTTGTCATTTTACGGGGAGGAAAGAGATGAATACGAGCGCAGAGAGCCGGAAGGGTGGTCTGAAGGTTTCTTAAGAGGATGAAACATGAGTCTCACCTTCACTGAATAAAGCCAAATTCGTGTAAGAATTTAGAAGTTTGTTTTTAATTTATCCTTTATAAGCAGCAGAGGTGTTACTGAGGGAGTTAATGAGGAGGAAATAAGGGAGGGATAAATACTGTATGTCAATATTAAATATGACAAGTTTCAAAATATACAATATCCAGTCACAAGTTAAAGATTGACAAATCCTGTCTCCTGAGAGTTACCACAAATGTTTTTTTGTTTTACCATTACTCACCTTACAACATATTTATGGTATTTTTGATGACGCCGCCTGGATGGAACCGGTGGCTCTGTGAGAATCACTTTCTTTGATTTCTCGAGTGCATTCAACACCATCCAACCAGTGCTGCTGAGTGAGAAGCTGCGGGTGGTGGGGGTAGACACGTCCACCGTCTCCTGGATCACTGACTACCTCACAGGCAGACCACAGTTTGTCCGACTGGGCAGTGTGCTGTCTGATGTGGTGGTCAGTGATACTGGAGCTCCACAGGGAACTGTTCTGTCTCTCTTCCTGTTCACCTTGTACACCACTGACTTCCAGTAGAACTCAGGGTCATGCCATCTGCAGAAGTTCTCTGATGACTCTGCAGTGGTCGGGTGTATAAGGGACGGACGGGAGGAGGAGTACAGGACAGTAGTGGATGACTTTGTGGAGTGGGCCGGTAGAAATCACCTGCTTCTGAACGTTGCCAAGACCAGAGAGATGGTGGTCGACTTCAGGAGGAAGACGACGGCTCCACAACCGCTGAGAGTTCTGGGAGAGGACGTGGACATGGTAGAGGAGTACAAGCACCTGGGGGTCTCCATCGACAGCAGACTGAACTGGAAGACCAACATCAATGCTGTGTACAAGAAGGGGATGAGTCGACCCTTTTTCTTGAGGAAACTTCGATCCTTCAACATGTGCAGCAGGATGTTGGAGATGTTCTACCAATCTGTTGTGGCCAGTGCACTGTACTTCGCCGTAGTCTGCTGGGGGAGCAGCATTGGAGCCGGATGAATAAAGTATATATCTATCTATCTACCAATCTATCTATTTTTGGTTACTTTAAAATCTTAATTCATGAGCTGGTTGTTATTTTAATCTGCAGACTTAAATTGATAATCACTTTCCTCCTCTTCATCGGCGTCTTCTTTTAAAGACAGATGTGGATATCGATGATAAAAGTCAATGGGAGAAAGATCTTTCATCTGATTCACCTCATCATACGTAATGTAATCTGTGTATGCTTGTGGCTGCAGTATTGAGAGACTGTATGTGTGTGTGTGTGTGTGTGTGTGTGTGTGTGTGTGTGTGTGTGTGTACACTTAGACTGTGCTCTGCTGTCATACATCAACACCATGCTGGGAGACTGCTCAGCATCCTGCCACTGCTGTCGCTGATCAAATAAGGCAAAGGGCTGCTGTCACACACACTGGTGCATACACACCAACACACACACACACACACACACCACTAAATGTGGCCATATAAGCACCAATCAGGCTGCAAAGTGACAGCTGCACTGCCAACAGATGGATCCGTTCCATCAGGGTTACCGGTTGTGTATTTCTATCGTAGGATGTGGAAAAAGATCTGTATCTGACTCAGTTCCACGCAGGTGGTTGAAGAAAGTCACGGTGCAGGTTGACAACAAACGCTCTCATCCAAACATGAAACAGACGGACTGTTTATTGAAAGAGTCCAGCCAAGTTTATGCATCCCTGTCTTTTTTTGTCATCTGTCATCATTGATTTTTATTTTTTTGTGTGTCTGATAATTCATTTTTATATGTGATAAGAGGTAAACAGAAACCAATAGATGCCTGAAACTTTCAAAATGATACACTGAAATTTCTAAAACAGCAACAGCATGGTTAACAAAACAGTTGTGATACAGCATCCCTTATTTGCATTAAATTGGCAAAAAAAACAATACCACTTGCACAGGTGCAATTATGTAGAAAGTGGACATATTCGACTTTTTCCATATTCATATGTGCCTTCAGGATCCATTCACTGACAATGCTGGTCACATTTACCAGATCACCAGATGCTTCGCAAACATCACACAGGCACAGAGACACTAAAGATTTACAGATCCTGATCTAGAATGCATTTCACCTTACAACTATACGGTGACAACATCAAGGGGGGAGGGGGAGTGGATCTGACCCTAGATCAGGATTTTCTGTTACTTTTTCAAGCCAGCGAGAGATTCAGAACTCAGGTCCGTCTTTCTTTAGGTTTTTGTAGTCGGTGGTGATGGCCACCAGCTGGGGAAGAAGATGGAATTCAAACTGAGTGGAAGCTTGATACTGTTGTGCTAAGAAACAATTTCTGTATCCAATCTCACATGCAAACAGAGATGTATACATTAATTACAAGTAGGAGGCCATCTATGTTAACAACGAATACTCGCAGTGTGCTGTATTACCTTGTACTGATACGTGGGATCAAGTTTATTCCATGGCTCTGGGTTGTTGGTCTTGTTCCAGCTAAATACACAAATAGATACGGACAGAATTGGTATATTAGGCTCTTTGGGAATCTGAGATGCATGAATAAAGCTCTCATTTCAGACTTAAACAAATATAATAAAAAGTGATCTGATACCTCTGAGAGCCAAGATATTTTATACACACAACAAAAGATAACAACCAAAAAGTTGTGGGTCAGATTCAAACTCAGCACTCAGTATGTGCTGTAAGCCTGCTGTGCCATCAACAAGACACTCTTTTTAATAATGTCATCAAGGATATAAAGAATCATTGCTGCAAATAAATGATGAAAGACCTGCAAAGAAACAAGACAGAGCACCATCCTGTGAGCTTGTGTTAAAAGCACTTTGCTGTGTCTGCTGTTATTGCAGTATCATTACGGGTAAATCAAAGGTTTGTATAGCAGCAGGAGGAGAGGAAGTCCAGGCAAGAGGCGGCTGGAGGGGAAAATCAAAGTGAGCGGGGATCCCTGTAGTCAGTAACAATCGTAAAACAGAATCTCTCAGCTTGGTTATAGTGTAAAACATATTCATCTGTCCTCCACATGCCTTGTTAAAATGTTAGCACATCTGCATATGAAGATGAAATTCTAAAGGGAAGGAAGTCTAAAATCCATAATTTCCTTGTTTATACATCTTAATCTGGTGGTGTACTCCATCCTGTGACCGCCCTGACGGGGGTCATTGATTCTTTTTTGGAAATTTGAGGCTAATTGTCCTCAAATAATGATAATGAAAACAGAACTAAACAGATGTCTAAACCAAAGGAAAACACACGTATTAAGCTCATTTTCAGATTCCTTGTGCATGGGGATGCATTTGTTTAAAGAATGGTGAAAAATACACCTGATGCTCAGTCTCAATTTTGACAAAATGCAGATGTTTACATTATTGAACAGGTAACTTGTTTAGTCAGTAAACAGCTCAAGAAGGCCACCAAACTTGTGAACTTTTTGTTTTACCAGGTATCATCCTGACATATTACATATTATCTCTGTTGCATATTATCAGAGGTCCTTACGTGACATGGGGTCCTTTAGCCAACCGGAGCAGATACATGGATGCCCCGCCCATTCCCAAACAGATGAAGAAGAACTGGGGGATGAGCTGCAGACACAGAGAGAGACAATCCAAAGATAAGGCTCCTTAAGTCTTATTTTATTTAACATAAGTAGATTTTTTTATTTCATATGTGATACTGTGCTACTTATAAATGACAACACAACCTGAGGCTTTCAAAATAAGATAGCTGATGTGATTTTATTAGTGCATACAGTGACTTGCAAAAGTATTCACCCCCCTTGGCGTTTTTCCTATTTTGTTGCATTACAACCTGGAATTAAAATGGATTTTCATTTGGATCTAGTAGTTGACCTTTACACAAAATAGTGACAGTTGGTGAAATAAAATGACAAAAAAAAAAGAAAAAACTGAAAAGTGCTGTGTGCATATGTATTCACCCCCTTTGAGTTGAAGCCCTTAAATAAGATATGGTGCTATCTGGTGTTTACCTTCAGAAGTCAAATCATTACTTAAACAAAGTCCACCTGTGCAATCTGAGTGACACGTGATCGGTCCCACCACCACCATTAAATCCACTCTGTGAGTGTTGGTGCTGCGTTAGATCATGTGTCAGATAAGTATAAACTAAACACAGTACAGTGCAATACTTTAACACAGTATTCTAAGTAAATGGTGAATTAATGTAGTGTTACTGTTGTGTATATATACATATAATGACAAATCAGTCAGAGGGGATGTTTTTCTGCAAAACAGGCATTTACTTCTTTTCTTTTTTACATTTTACCGATCAAATTTATATACTTTTACTAGTATGCATGACTTTTACGTAGCTTGTCTGATTTGTACTTTTACTCTGGTAAAAGAAACACTGAAAGACAGCCAGAGAGAGAAGAAGCACTTTTTACTGTCACCTTAAGATCTACAGCAACATGACTGAATAATAATCAGGCCTGTCTTTAATTCTGTCTGCCTGTCAAACGCTCTCTGTCTGACTGACTGTCTTTCTGATAACTTGTCTCTTTACACTTGATTCACTTACTGTCTACTGTGCTACTGTCTATCTGCTTACACAACAAATCACTCACTTCTCCTAATCACTACTTTTAGCTCTACGGTAGTGGATCGTAACTAAGTACATTTACTCAGGTACTGGACTATGACTATGCCCACTGTCTGTCTCAGCCTGTCTGCCTGTCTGTCAGTCTGTTTGATGATAGACCATATGAAGGAGCTCTGGTAGAGTCTCATAGGGATTTTCTCCCTGCAGCATTTCTCTCTCTCTCTCTCTCTCTCTCTCTCCCTCTCTCTCACTCGCTCTCATGGGAGGTCGATGACAAGAAGTTAACACTCTTTCACTTCGCTCTCTGACAGCAGAGCTGGTTAAAAAACGCAGAAATAATCCCATCACCTGTAGGGACAACTCATATTTTTGAATGTATTTTATTCCAACTACTCATCTCCTTAAAACGTACGATTTTGTCAGTTTAGATTTAGGAGGTTTGTTCGGGTCATGGGAGTGTTTTTAAGTCTTAAGCCTCTCTCAGTTTGGCTTGATTTCAAATGAGCCACTGGAGAAACTTAACCTGCTTATTTGGAGTTAAAATAAGATCAGATGGGACAAAATTAGTCTTCTGATCGCGTCAATTAATGTACCAAGACTCTATAAACCCTCCAGGCAATCATCAAGTGTGTCTGCTACAGAATTGTATTAACTAAAGCTAGAACCTATCAACATACAGTATATCAAGTTAAATTCATTGTGAATACATTTTATATTACATTCATTTGTATGTGATGTTATTCATAATGTAATGATATCATAGAAGGCAGAATTACATTTGGTTAGGAGCCTAAAAAAAATAAATGTTAACCTGAATTTGAAAGCCTAACCAGTGATGGAGCAGCAAACTCGCTTCAGCCAGACCTACAATACATAACATTACTGTACTGCATCTGTTACAGTGAATAAACAAACAAATGAATAGATAAAAAACACAATACTTAACTTCTAGTTAACCAAAATGTACTTACATTGATGCTAATATGGCATCGTTGTTGAATAATGTGCAGGGAGAAAAATCAACATTTATTTTCTGCAGAACATGTGACCCACTAGAGCTATCCAAATGATGATTCAGAAAAGCACATCGTCATATTAAAATGTTGTGTTATTTCAGTTTTAATAATTATTTTACATTAAAACTTTTGGGGATTGAAAACAGGTTGTTGTCACTGACAATAAAGTCCTAAAGAGAAACAAACAGGAAAGATATACATGTTACTTACCCCAGGGTGCCTCTTAGCATGCTCTACTGCTGTCCGAAATACCATGACTCCTGTTTATAGAGAGTAGGAACAATGCAATGAAATAAAATGATTCAGAGTCAGTACTTCAGGCCCTTGATATCCGCAGTGCACAGACAGGATTTAGACCTGTTGCTCTCTGCGTGCGGAGGGAGGAGGGGAGGAGGAGGAGGAGAAAGAGGTCATTTACATCTGATTACAGCAACTTCAGCTCCCTTGTTGGGGTGAATGCTCGGTGCTGGACACCGTGTAACAGTTTATATTCAAACAATAAGGTTTCATCCTTGTAAATATTCATTAAATATCCAGCAGAGAGAACATTTGATGCTCATATCACAGTGTTTAATCAGAAGAAGCTCAAAGGCCTTGTCTCCCTCATTTCCTTTACTGCATTTTGAAGACTTTCGACCCTTTGGGAGCTGACTGGAGGAAGTGGAAAAGCATACAAACACTGTGTCCTTTCAAGAGGCCGCTGGGGAATATTTATATTCTATGGGCCTCTTCAGTTGGCCTAATCATATCTGTAAAGATGCATCCAGTACACATCCCAGGAAAACACAGTTGAACTGAAATCTGCTACACCAAAGAGAAACCTCCTTGAGGTTTAAATGGGGCTGCAATTGAAGTACTATTTTGTGTGAGCATTTTCTGTTTCTCATGTAATGAAGTTAAACAAATGTTCAGTAAACTATTGTTAAGAAGAAATAATGCAAAAAACAATGAATGATACCAAACTTCGCAAGTTGTGTCCTCTTCAAAAACACTCAGGGAAGCGATCCCTTTGTATTCTGGCTGTTTATGTTGGCAACTAAAGTCAGGGGCAATCCAAAACATAATTATGCAGCACAATCACCAGTATTGTACACTCGAAACACTTTTCAAAACATTACCACACATTCATTGACCTAGATACACTTTGACAAACAGACAGAGTTTAGAAACAACTCAGCTTGTTGACCATGACTTGCAGAAGAAGTCTCAGTGTTATGCAGCTGATTTTTAATCAAATGTTATAAAATGTTGGGTTAATCCAAGGAAAAATGTTCCCAGCAAGTGCTCCACTTGTGATTCAGCCTGGAGATTAGCTCTGTATGATTATCAGCTAACCCAGAGAAAAAAAGATGAAAACATAACACGGTGATGCCTGAGGAGCAGAATAACAATGTCACCTTCACATTAACTCTTGAGGTAATGGGAGGCTTGACTTAGCTAAACTAAGGTCAATGCAACAATGAAACAACCTCCCATTCTGTTACATGGACCAGTGTCTCTGATTCATTGTACTCCAGTTTAATCGGAAGTTAAAACAAATACAATTCAATACAGTGTGTGTGTGTGTGTGTGTGTGTGTGTGTGTGTGTAGCCAGGTGGACTAACCATTGGACAATAACTGGAACATATTTAACCACTGTTTCACAGCTGTTTTAAAGAGTAACTTGATCCAACATCTACCTTCTCGGTATGAAGCACCTACTGGACCCCCTGTAGTTTTGACAGGTGGCTCTGAAAAGTGTGTAGCTGGATTCCCGTCACTTACAAAGCATGCAGTAGTGACAAGTTTTCACAGAAGTAAAAAAGTTCTACAGAAACTTCTCAAACAGCTCCTCTGACATAGTCAACTTTTCTACTTAAAGCAAATGCTATTCATGTTCAAAATCATTTAAATATGTTCATCTCGTTATCTCCTTACTTCTACCTGTGCAGCAGTGGAAAGCATATGGGTGAGCAATAGTGAAGTGGATTATGCTGCAGAAATGATTGCTTATTGTTGATTAGTTTCTATGGGTATGTTGGTACTTTACTTCCACCTTTGTTCTTTGTGAGGGCTACAAACTACAAACCTTTTTTAGACACGTTTCAAGACCACAGTAGGAGAGTGTTTTATAATAAAATGACTGAGTGGAATATCCCTTTAACAGCAATCCCTGTAAACAAATACGTGAAATCTTACCAAAGAATAATGATTGGTCGGTAACGATGCAGAGACAGCGGTTTGTCAACACTTGTCCATGTCCAGTTTATAATGTTGCAGCCCTGACATGGGATCTAGAAGGACAGCTGCCAAGAAACACTGAATGTTGTGTTGGAAAATCAAACCCAAAAAACAAACAGTAATCATGGACGTTTTTTACGAGTATCATGCAAATTTGGTTGTTTCTTGAATCTACAAAAGATGTTTGGCAGATGTCAGATGTAAGGAGCTTCTCACACGACGCATCAACTCCAAATACTTCTCAAAACAATTTGTGGCTTTCAGTGGATCAAAGTTATGTACACAACGTACTACACTTAATTATGATATTTTCATTCGTGCTACTTTATAATGAAACACTGAACTTTTTTACTCAACTACAACATTCATTTGACAAGCTATCGTTGATGTTTACTTTTCAGGTTAAGAATTTACATACAATGTAGATCAGTACCTAAAATATGATAATTCCAGATTAAACTACCCAAAAGTGGACAGAAAATAGTTTAAATTAGTTCCACCTCAACTAGCTGCAACAGCCACTGCTTTACACTTTGAATAGGTACTTTTGAAACTTAAATTACATCTTCTTGCTAAATTGTCTTCACAGACTTTCAAATGCAGGATTTTTACTTGTGATGGAGTATTTTTATAGGGTGATATTGCTTTCTGAATACTGCTGCAGTAGAAAAAAAGTAACAAATCAGCTCAAACACAATGAGGTTCACCAGTACGGCATCATGCGTATTAGGTTCAAGCTATAGCCCCATTTTCACTCCCCACTGTGGAGGCGCCCCATCCAACTAAGTCGCTAGAAACAAGGCCATGATCCCTCTCAGGCTTCCCACCCTTGAACACAAGGCATCTATGTTTGTGATAGTCTGCAAAAGTTTGTTTTTTCCCTGTGCAGAGTGAAGAGAGACAGGAAGCATGGAGAGAAAGAAGTGGTTGTCTGCCACAAAGGTTGTATTGGATTTCGACATGTCTTCACCTTGTGTAACTGTGCCATTCTGACATTCTGTCAACAGGCTATTTTAAACTCTGTAACCATCAAAAGAAGAACGAAATAAGTGGATCATATTGTTGCCTCCGGAATTATTCAGAATGTGTGACATGCAGGCCCCAGTTTTACACAGGAAAAATAAGATGCAATACGATTGTCCAGCCATTATATAAACCCTCATTGTGCATCCGTCACACCGCCAACTCTGGCTCCTTATTTTCTCCTCCCTTCTGACACAGGACTGTGTGACATGAGCTCAGCCCTGCCTGCTGCTCCTGCTGACCTGCAGCACAGAGCTCACAGATAAATCCTCCTAATTGGACACTAGCCAACACTATGGCACAAGCAGTGCCAACTCAGGTCCAATACGGTGCAGGTATACCTACATTATCCCGTGAGCTGTCTAATGATGACGCATATTGGCCCTAGCAGTAAATTTGACTTGTTCCTCGCTGACATCTGGCAAGGTGGTAGTGGCGGAGGAGCTGAAAGCAGGAATGAACATGCATAAAAGTGGGCACCATGACCACCCATCGCATGTTTGTTTTTTTTAGTTTGAGCTGCGACATATCTTGAGGGGCTCACAAGCACCAGGCCAACGGGGATCATAGCCACATAATATTGTAAATATAAACCGTAAGAGATTATTCACCAACTGCTTGTTAATGCTGTACAACCAACCAAAAGCCACACATTGGCATCCCCCCATTAGCCAAACACAAAGTCAGCTGAAAGGGTTAGAAAAAAACATTATCCATCGTCGTCTTTGAGTTCCCACCTGCTGCTTTTGTTCCTCTAAATATCATTAAGAAAGTATTACTGAAATGTAGTGTAGCCATAGAAATGAATCCTGTTTACTTGTTTTTCCCCCCTTTTAATCCCTCTTGTTAAATTTGAGCCAATCACCCTTCAGTCACAGGCCTGCTTTAGCTCTGATTAGCCTCGCTCTGCCCTGTTGTGGAAACCAGGGGGGTTTTAGTGTGTGTGTGTGTGTGTGTGTGGTTGTGGTTGTTCTTGCTTGAGGAGAAACAGAACAAGCTGGCAGACGGTTTGAACCCCGACCTGTGGCACAGTTCAGCACATAATACCATTAGACCGCAGAGGTCTGCTGGGTTAATAATGTGGACCAACAAAGAAACAGTGCAGTGCAGCAAACACACCTGCAAGTCACCTGAGAATTCTTCAGTGAGTCAAAACCTTTGAATCAGATGAGAGAAAGAGACCTGGACGGATATAGTATAATAGCATAGCAACATTAGGCTGATTAAACTGTGGTTTTGTAGATGAGCAGGCTGGAAACAAAGCACATTTTTTTCAACTGGCACTCAGAATCCCACATCATTTTTTAGCATTAATGGAAGCCAACGGTGAGAACATCTCTCCTATAAGGAGATGTCTGACACAGCAGACTTTGCTGCAATACTGGCATGAATCAGCTTCTCAGAGGAAGCTTGAAACAGATCTACTAGACATTATAGGTCAATCTTATGTTGTATAATAGATCTGCTATTGGGAAATGCTCAGGCGTAGAGGTTGACAATATGCCGACTAGATTTTGTGTTAACATCTTATAATATATTATGCTGCATTTAAAGGGTCAGTTCCCCCAAACATAACAAAAAATATATATATTTTCTCAATTACCTCAAGTCATTGTAAATATTTTTGGATTGTTCGGTCAAGGTTTGGATACGTTTGTCTGAACTGAAAATCAATTAGCAGTTTTGATATTTAATGGGCTTAACGTTTCAGTTATTTATCAAACAAAAAGAAGCAAACAGTCTCTTGTAACAGCATGTCAAAGGTGAGGATTTGTTTCTCGTTTGTTTTACATCACTGTAAGGTGAATATTTTTAGGGTTTGAACTGTTGGTCAGACAAAACAAGCATTTCGAGATGCTTTGGGAAACTGCAATGTGCATTATTCAGACTACATCGCTAATATTCATAGTCATGTGGACACTGTTTCCTTAAAAAAATAAATAGAAAACTTTTTTCCATGTAATTGTTCAATGCTGTGAGCCCACAAAAAAAAAATCTATTCTCCTAAATTGTAGATAACACCGAGGGAATTAAACTAAAACTTGGTTTTAAAGTGAGCTGCAGTAAAAGGACAAACGACAGGACTGAGGAATAGTTAGACTTTTCCTCTGTAACCAGTGGCATCAGACAGCTGCCTGACTTATCTCAACCTGCAATACAAATAAAAGCAAACAGCTCTTTCCATCAGTGAAAATATATTTCCTTAAAAACATACAAACAACAAATGCTATTTACATAGTATCCAAAATATTCCCACTAGACCTTTAAAGACCATTCAATATGAATGGTCTCTTGTGGTTTCTCTAAGCATCATGGAAACAAAACAAAGCTGTATTTCCAACAAAGTTCCAGTCAGAACATACAAAAATCACAGGAGTCCAAAAACAGATGGATGAAGATTGAGACCGGACAGGAAGTCTATTCCCATTTCCCCTGTTGGTAGACAACAGGAAAAGTTATATGTCTTAATATTGTAAAAACAGCTACAGCTAATGCACCTTACATCCCTGAGCTGATGTGATTGTTTGGTGCTGTGCTTCTTTACATTTCACACAGAGAAAGGCCCGATAGCAGACACAACTGATTAATCGCTGTTACAATCATGTGTGGGCAGGACCACCGTTTTCTTTTATTTTCGAGTCCCTCAGAATCAAAGAGCAAGGTCTTCTTTACCTTTGATTGATTGTATCAAGTTCACAGCTACTCTCTGGGGTTTGTTAAAAAGTAAAACCTTACAAGTCACCAACCGATGTAGAAGACAAGTCAGACTGAATGAAAGTGGGTTCATCAAAAAAGTAAACACTTTCCCTCATTCAAAAATCATCTCCAGAATACATTGAACATCAGAGACTCAACAGTAACTGAGATCCCAGTTTAGGAGGAAACCAAAGTAACATGAGCAGCAACAGTAGAACAGCAGGGAGGCAGGTCAGACGTGAGCATGGCGACAGCAGCAGAAGCTCCGGTAGATGTCAGTGTGGTAACGGAGGGCTCCGAGGCGCGAGCGGGAACTGGTTTGGCGATCTTCATGGGAACAAAGACGTTAGAAGCACAGTGCTCGCTCAGGTACTCGCCCCCTTTCTCCTCGTACTCCTGTCTGCTGATCCATCCCTCTGCTGCTCCTCCCTCTGCGCTAGGTAGATGCTGCAAGGCCCAGTCTCTCGCCCCGTACCAGGCGTCCAGGGCCGGCCGGCACGCCATTCTCACCTGGGACGGAGTCAGTCAGTTACAATGCATTTACAAGATTTCGTCTGGCGTATTTGGGCAGTAAAGCATGGTTAATGTGTGTTTTTCACATAAAAAGACATAAAACCATAAAGGCAATATCTATCTTTATTGGTCAACACCTGAAACGTGTGAAGTAGGAATGTGTAATGCTAAATAGGGTTATAAAAAGGACCTTGTACCTTGAAGTGTGACTGGAAGGGCCTCATAGCCAGCAGTTCTCTCTCCACTCTCTCCTTCATACCGGGGTACTGCATGTTCCCTCCCGTCAGAAACACATTGCTCACCAGCGCCTCCTGCTGCTCTGGTGTGTACCTGTATGTGGCACAGAAGACATAAGAAAGACATTAATACTATCTATCAATGTAAATAGTAAAACTATTGACTACCTACATCTTCTGAGAAAGAATGTTTTGAACGGGCATTAGTGAGGAAAAAAGACAATGTGCGTGATCCATGTGTATGTTCGCATGGTTTGTCATTACCTGGCAAGGACGTACTGCAGCGTCTCCATCAGTCCCATCTGGTCCTCTCCGGTTGGCGAGGGCTGGAACAGGATCTCTGGACACCGGAGACGCTCCGTCCCCACAAACAGCTGGTGGTACTCCGCCATGTTGAACAAGGGCTGGAGATGAGACAAAAGTTAATTTTGTGTGGTACCAAATGCATCGTCTTATTAGAAAAGTTTGTTAGTTTCCTGACTGTCCTGGCACATAAACATAATACAGCCCGAAAAAGTTTTTCTAACTGTGCCACACGGTAAACCGGCAGGTAATTGCCTGCGCAGCATTAATGAGGATCTAAGTATCTTGTCTGGGAGCCTCCAGTGTCTCTGTGCCACTACCTGAACCACATTAGCAGGTTTCTCTGGCAGCGTGTCCTCGGGGAAGTCAGAATCAATCAGCGCCACTCCATCTCCCTCGTCCATCGGCTGCTCCAGCTCAGACACCTGGCAGAGGGCAACAGAACAGCCTCAAGCTTCATGTCAGCCGCAGCACATCGACCGCAGCAAACAAGGACGGATCCAGTGACGCCCCACGGCACATTCACGCCGACGACATGCAGAGATAATTAATAATTGGTACATTTGAATGTGACCTCAGCTCGGCGGTTCCTAAGTCGACCAGAATACAGTGTCCGCTTTGCTTCCTTATTGGACTTTTTCACAGCAGCCAGTTTGACATGTCATCGCAGGGTAAAACACAGGTGTAATTAATAATACTAAATATGGTCACCTTACAATACTCTCGGATTTGGTGGAGTAACACCCACCTCAGTCTTTCCCTCCACTCCGTCGCTATGCAGCAGCTTCTGTCTGCCCTGCTCCACAGCCAGCTGCAGTTTGTTGATGTACGACTGCAGCTCCTCGGCCGAGTCCATGTTGAGCTCCACCAGGCTCTTATGAAAGTGATCCAACAGGCCGTCCTCCAGCAGTTCCTGCACACAAACAAACTCTTTGATCACTGTGCAGCACACACCTGCTGTGTTTTAGAATCCACCCGTATTTAGTTCGAGCTACTTTGTATTCCAGATGTTTTAATGTTACTGTTGTAGTGAACACAATCATTCCTCAGCAAAACAATTAGCCTTTTTTGTAGTTTATCATCGGATGCAAAGGGGTCAAAAAGCCTTATGCACATCAATAGCATCCGAAAAAACCCTAAAAGGCTTTCGAATAAACAGCAAATGATGCAATAGGCCCCTTGCCTGTACTGCTAGAAGTCTGTCCAGCCTCTCTTGGTCCTGTAGCAGCTTCTCCTCCCGGCGACGAGCGTTGATCTCCTGAAGCCGCCGAAGCTGCTGAGCTCGTCTCTCCTGCCTCTCCTCCACACTCACACAGCCGCCCGGCACCTTACCCGAGAAGGGGAGCTGCATGCGGTGAACCTCCCGCTCGTAAAACTCTGGGCTGCGCCACTTTTCCAGCTCTGTGGAGAACGCAACAAAAGAGGGAAAGGAGGGAAAGTATAGGGTTTAGGAGAAAATTCATGTCGGTGTGGAGTTTATTAATGTTACTTAAGATAAATGTCTTCAACTAATCCAAAACTTTAAACAGATTTGAGAACTTGCCCGGAGAAGCTCTAAGTGTATCAACATATATGTAAGTTTGCACCGACATGATGTACCTTCTTGGTAATCCACAGCAGTGTAACTGTGTTCATGCAGCAGCTCCTCTACGCGGCTGAGTGTGATGGCGGCGAGGTGACCTGGGTATTTCAGCTGGAGGAGGCGCTGCAGGTAGGACGCGGCCTGACTCCCAGCCACGTTCACGCGCTTACAGTTCACCGCATCAAACCTTGAATCAAAACCATATCAAAGTTAGACTCTACAGAACAGACTGTGCAAAACGTGTGCATGAAGCAGTCGTCTGTTAATCCTCACCTGCCGTCGATAACCGGCAGGATGTGAGAACAGTGGTACCCGGAGGACAGGACGATGCCGGTGTGTGGCGGCTGGAGGTTCCTTTGAGTGCTATTGTTGTACAAACTGTACAAACTGTCCACGCCGTAGGAGACGTGCGGGACGCGGTAGCACTCAAACAGCAACTCTGACATCATCTGCCGACAGTGCAGCGGGTTGCAGGGCGCCTCAGTCAGCACAATGGGGTTCGCCACGCTGTCCTAGAAAAGCACGGAGAAAGGAAGGCTGGTTGATAAACTGGATGTCATGGTGAGTTAGTTTGATGTTGCATATAAAACATAAAGGGATAAATATTACCAGCATGCATTACTGTAATTAAAACACACCTAATTTTCCTACAAAAAAAACATGGTGTATAACTTTCTTTGTTCATTAGAAATAATCTGTTCTTGTGATAATTTCTACAAATTATAAAACAGTCTATTGACAACCTGGATTATTGACCAATTAATTTACAGACAGCATATATATACAGTAGAATGCAAATAATTATAAAATTAAAAAACACATTGCTGCAATTGGAAATGGTTCATATGCATTCAGTGTCTGAGTAGTGAAAATAATCTACAGTCTGTGGTTGGATGTTTCGTCGCTAGGTGTTGCTTTATTTTTGAAGGCTTCAGTGCTTCGCATTTAACATTGCTGCCCTCTAGTGGTTAAATCGTGTAATGTTCATGATTCATTAAATTATGTAACACTGCTGCCCTCTAGTGGTTAAATCGTGTAATGTTTACATCACACGATTTAACCATCACATCATTTAATGAATGATAAAAATCAGTGTTAAATGATTTAACCACTACACTGTAGTGGTAGAAAAAATGAAGACGACAGTGGTGCCATACCCCCCCAAAAGTCTAAATGTGTGCGCAAGTACAATCCTGACTTTCTTAACACTTTCAGTGTGTGGAATGTGGGCTAATGCTATCAAACGAAGCACTGAAGCCTTCAAAAATAAAGCAACACCTAGCGACGAAACATCCAACGCTCGTGGGAAAGCCTGTTGGGCTTCTTGTTGTGTACGCAGGTTTACATACACATGATAAATAAATGTCTTTGTGATCATCACATTGTATCATCTCATTTATTTGACAAGGGTTTTGCCGGCGTCCTCGATTCCCTCCCCTTCCGTTCCGTTCCTACGGCTTGCTTGCACAAAATACGTCACAAAACATGGCCGTGTTTGGTATCCCAGCATGCCCAAAACCCTCATCTTTGCAAAGAAATCATCGATTTTCTTTCATTTCTTATGGATTTTTCACAAAAGGAGCCCAAACACACACTGTCCAAAGTCGCCATAACCGCTGCAAGTCGGATCTTGCAGCATTTTGACGGAAAAAGACACATTACAGACCCAACAATGTGCTAGGGGATGTTACCATGGAGCTAGTAGCTTCAGAAAACGCTAGTACTTAGAGTACAAACCTTACCTTCCTCTTCTATAAGCTGTCAACCAACATATAACCTTGCGTAACTGAGCTACCCTCATACTCGATCGTGCGCTCAACCGCAGCCATTACGCACAGTAAGTCTGCTACTTACATACCACGTCTTCGACCATGAAAGGAATGAAAGGAAAATAATATAATATCAAAATATAAAGGGAGAAACACCTTTAGTGTGTCAGAATATCATTTGGTTATCATGTGTCCATTTGGGTCTCTAAATATCCTTTTAGAGCTCCGCCTGGATCTCTTCGTGGAAGAAACACTGTAGAATCGTCACTTTGTCCAATCTTCTTCAAATTTGAGACAGTTGTTCATCGATAGTGTAGTTACAGCCCTATACTGTCATTTACCTGTACAGATACAGCCACAGGCAGTTATTTATACTGAAAGATACTTTTTTATTTTATGCGGACAAAAATCTTCAATTTTTACTGACTCCAAAGGCCCACTGCTCTGTTTCTATATGACCTACAGGTTTTCTGACACTTTTGATGCATATAGTCACAGTGGTTCAGAAGCTACAGCCATTTTAATTTGGGTATGTCATTTTGGGCGGTTTTGCTCTAAAATAGGGGTGGAGTTGAACAGGTAACAATATAGTTATTGAATACAAATCAAACCAAGAGTGAGATCAATTAGTTAAACTAATAGTGTTAATATTTGAATGGGCCCCGGGACACTTTGTACTTGAAAAGTTGGGCCCCGAGGTCAAAAAGGTTAAGAACCCCTGCTTTAGATGAGAGCTCAGTGGAAAGGACGTCTAGTCGTTTCTCTGTGATAAAGTGTAGAAACGAATTAAACTTTAACTACCGTTTTTTAAAAGGCATTGATATGAAAATAAATGACATCACTAAAAATAGCTGATTTCAAATCTAACCCAATGTCACGTTTTTAGCGTGACGAAAGCAGGCTAATGGCATGGCTGATGTAAATGTTGGCAGCAGCGGACACATCAGTCACCGTCCACCACTAACCTCTGAGCCGATGCCCAAGTGAGTGAACACATAGTCGAACATGAGCTCCTGGATCTCGAAGTTGACCACCACGTTTCGGTCAAACTGGCTCTTCAGCAGCCACCGCAGCGGCTCCAGGTTTGGGATATCGTTACCGATCTGGGTCTCGCTGCGGGCGGCCCCTCTGCAGCGCGCCGCCACCGACTTGAAGAGCAGCCGCGGAGAGTCAAACTCCGCCGCTGGAGCCGCCCAGCCGGCCCGGGTCTGGAAGGAGCCGTTATCTATCACTATAGGGGCCGATGTAGGGGCCAGGCACTGGGCGGGGAGTTCAAAAATGGGGTCAGGAGAGGTTTTACAGTCCTGAAATGTGAAAATTTGATAGACCGGTTCCTGTTTGGTAGCCATTTTGGAAGTGTGTCACTGCAAAATACAGCCGGGTGAAGTCTCGGTGTTGCCGACTTATAGTTCCCGATTGTTCTTAAGTCAACTATTCCAACTTACATGCATTAAATCTGTATACAGCAGTATGTATTTAAAAAATAATTAATTAAAAATACAAGTAGCACTTAAAAGATTAAAGGATTACATATATTTAATATAAATAGAATACACGCGTTGGCTTTGCTGTTTCAAAAATACAAAAGTGGCAAACTATTTTTTTATTTTTTTCAATGAAACACTCCCCGTTTATCTGCTTTTCAACTAAGGTATGGAACATTCACGTATTTCGTATCTATATGTAACCGGAGCTGCGACGTTGGAGGGTAACAGCAGACGGCGCTAGACATTATGGAATGGTGTCCACTCAGGTGCGCTGTGCCTGACAGAAGTAATGGGTAGACTCCTGCGGTACGTTCTAATGGATGGCAGCCGATATACAAAAGCATTTTCATCCTCATGTATGATCCAGTGCAGTCTAATGAGCCTTCCGGCAAGTGCAGACAAGATTTTACTGCACATGTGTGGTTGTACCCCAATGATATGACGCATGACATCTCCTCTTTTAACTGCTGTTATTACAATAAAGGTTCATTTTGAATATGTCTACCTTTTGCCACCAGAGGTCGTGCTACACTCTATGTAAGCAAACTCCCTTTGAAATGAGAGACACTGATTTATCCTGGTGGATTATTGGGTAGAGAAAGGGCCTGTTTATTATTATAGTCCGACTGTATAGAAACATCAGAAATTGTCAAAATATTGTTTAAATTTAAAACTCCTGTGTAGAAAATTTGACTTTACCTAATCTCACTAAATAGTTGTTTGACCAGAAGAGAACTCATGCTGTGCAGCACATTTTACATTTTAGTGGAGAACCCAAAGTTTCCATACAAAGGAATGATGCAGCCATAATAATAAAAATAGCCTAACGTTTCTCTACAGATTTCCATTTCCAATCTGTTTGCAAACTAAACGAGCCGTTTCAAGTCTTGCTGCCATTTTTTTCTAATCACTCATCACTTAAAATCAGGGGTCAAGTGAATAAATATGCTAGAAATGGATGAGTCCGTTTTGAAGCTACATCTAAACCATGTGAACAGACATTTTCCCTCAGGCTCTGAGATCCCTGATTTCTTTCTGTCTGCCATCCTGTTACTCTAAGCTGACCGAGTGAAGCCTCAGCTGGTGATGTGGGACACCTGCACATTTAAGCTACTGTACATCCCAGTCTGCTTCAGGTCACAACATTCAGTCTAAGCACCATTTAATCTTTTCTTCTTACAAAATATTTTCATTTTTTACATCATGGCAGTTGTAATCCTTCGTGTGCACCATTTCGGTGAATCAAATTACCAATTACCTTGTTTTTAAAACTAGAATATCTATTAATATATTCTGGCCAGTGCGGATCTTGAAAGCAAACTGAAATACAATATCTAAAGGAATTCATATACAAACATCCAGGCTGACTGTTAGTTAAACCCCTTCAATGCAGCACGATTCATCTACAAATCGATCTTGACACAAGCAGCGTTCTGCCCCCAAAACTTTTAGATTCTAATAAAAATCCCAAAGAGTAATTTATTGTCTAAAGTAATGCTTAAGACACAGTATTTCCATTTGATGTAATCATCCAGCGATATACAAATGCTTCTCTGGTTTGAATCTACTGATATATTGAAATGTAGTTTGGAATTATGACAAACTGTCCCACACAAAACATTTGATTTCTGCTGTTCAGATGAATACATTTTTTTAAAATTTATAAACTGTCTATAATATTGCAGAAACTGTGTTTTCTGGGTGGATTTATTTCCTGGATAGCACAGATATTTTGGAGCAAAGGATGAAGAGGATGAAGGAAGGAAAGTGTGTCTGTGTGTGTGTGTGTGGGGGGGGGGGGACTGTATGATGCTTGATGGTGTGTCAATGAAGCACGAGCACAGTTCACTGCTCAGGCACAAAGCTCTAAGTGACTGCCGTCCCCCTCCTCCTGATGCTAATAAGCAGATCTGGGTCAGCTCACCCTCTCGAACACACACACACACACGGTTACACTGGTAAGACACACACATCCACACTATCCACACATCCCCACCCACACAAGCATGCACATACGGTCACAAACTAAAATACAAATACACACACATCTATTTCCTCTCCTCCCCAACACACACACACACACACACACACACACACAGACGTCCATTCTTCCCAGGAGGCAAGACGTGACATTGTGTCGCTGTCTGTGCACGATGCTCGCAGCTCTCTGCTTGTTGTGCTTGTCATCCAGGCAGCGGTGATGAGGCGCAGGGGAACTAATAGGCTACAAGCACTCTGGGACTGCCACGCCTGATGCCAAGCAGCCTCCATTTTGTGGAGGAATGAACAGACTGTTACTTCCCACTGACAGGGAGGGGAAGGAGAGGGAATTTACATGTTGGGAACAATCATGTTTAGTGTTCATGAATAATACAATTATTTAATAAGGTAATTTAGTAGTCTTAGTTTTAATTATTCACATGTCTTTCTTATTTAACATATTCAACAATATTTTATTTTTGGGTGGTTTCCACTGAAAGTGATGTGATTTACTGATAAAATAAGAAAAGTGAGTAGAAATTAAAATGTTGATTACAAGATGTAACTTGCTCTTTTTTAACTATACTATAGTGTGTTTTCCCCATTGCTCCAGAGTATATTGGCAGCGATGGAACAGTCATCGACTCCGGGGATTAGAACAGCAACCCCTCAAATACAAGCTCACTTAACTCTACTGAGGGTTTTCGCCTCCCCCTCAAATGCTGTTTTGTGGAGACGGGAAAAGACTGTGACTCCTCTGTGACTGTTTTTTAAACATATGTCAGTGATGATTATGTGTGTGATTATAAATCAGAGCATTCTGGAATCATTTTACATTCGTTGTCATGACAACACAGCATTTTTTTCCCCCCCGTACATTCTGCAATCAGAAGACAGTTGTGTCATTATGATGCCACAATAGGATTATTAATTTAAATTTAAATTCCACTGATTGGAATCACAATAATTAAATTGGCAATCCTTAAGATTTCCATCCTGACTGAATTAGAATTTCTATTATAGTGAAAACAATGGATTTGTGCTTAAACTTGAGCATGTTTGGAGTCCTGAGCTGTGTCTGAGTTATGTGCATAGTCCCATTTTTGTGTGTATATAATACTGAGAAACTGTAATGCAGCATTTTTTTTCCGGAAATATTGCCACAGACACCAATTTCGCAAATACTGCATATATGTAAATATTACAATACTTTCATCAGTGGGCCACATTGTGTTACCAACCATTGTGTTACCTCCTTAAACAATAGAAGCGTGTGTGTGTGGGTGTGGGTGTATGTGTGATAGAGAGAGATAGAGAGAGAGAGAGAGAGAGAGAGAGAGAGAGAGAGAGGGAATGACGGATGGAGGAAGAGAGGCCAGTTTATGTAACAATCCTAACTCAGAGCACTTCTGAAATACCAGAGCCACACTGCGGACAAAACCCCTGCAACCTCCATGACTCTCCTCCACACCCTTCACACACACACACACACACACACAC